ATTAATTGGTAATGTACGGGTATTAATGGGTTTTTATGCTTAACGGAAAGGGGTAAATTTAATGGAATTCAAGTCTGTTTAAAAAAACAAAGCTTAAGACTATTAAATAAGATTTCTATGATTGAAATTCAATCTAAACAATAAATATATTCAAAGATTTACATTACGAAATAACCTTCAGTCTGAACCCTTAAATGGCTTCAACGTATGCAATTCGCCAGGTTCATTTATGATTAACTTGGCCAACACAAACGAGACTCTGAAATTGGCTTACTTCAATATGTGTAACGCACCCCACGCAAAACGAGAAACAAACAAACAAACCCACGAGCAAACCCTCAAAACAATGAAAGCAAAAGCGAGCAGAATATTTTCTGGCACTTACGTACTCACTATATGCACTTCAAATAACTTGCCTAAGATTAAAGTCAATATTACAAAATAAACTTCAGTTTTATTGATTTTTAGTGGTATGATTAAAGACAAACATTTACATACAATAAAATTTTTTTCAAATAATATTTTTAATATTATATTATGTTAATATTTATAAAATATATATTTTATTACAAGAAAAATATATGAAATTTTGGTAACGATTTGGATATTTAAAAATCTATATCACATTTCGAAAGCACTCTTATAAAGATTGGCTGATATTATTATAACCCTTATATATTTTGTAGTATTTACTAAATTTACTCTGCAAGTGAATATGTCTGTGGGCTAAATTTAACTGTAATCGTAATGTGTCGACACTGAGGGTGTTACTTACTGGGCGCCAACCGCCTTTGAATTTCCCAGACCAACAACAAATGTGCCAGCGGATGCCATCGGCATTTGAATTTTCGGGGGGCGGAAAATGCGGAGGAAAATTGGGTGTTTTTGGGTAGGAAAAAAGGGTGCTGGGAGATACACGCTCATGCGTTTTGTTACTTGTTGTACATTCCCAACACCATTATTTCTTTCATTTACTCGATTTTCGTGCTTTTCATCCTTTATTGTTGTTTGCTCGAGTGCCGTTATCATTTGTCGGTTTCTCTTGCGCCATATGTGGCCGGGGACTTTCTCCTCTCCATGACTCCACTTTTCTCCTTTCTTCCGGACCCAGAGTGGGCGCAGTTTATGCGCTCTGCTCCTGCGGGAATCCCAAAGCAAGGTGAACCCTCCCTAACCTATCCCCAGTGATGGAAAAATAACTAAGCTAACTACACTCTTGAAAAACGGTTAAATAAATGTTATGAATGTTATTATTTTCATATTATGAAAAAAAGCAATTTAGGATTTAAAATTTGAATGTGGAATTGCTAAAAAAAATTTTTTGTGATTTTTGAAAATGTTGTTCTTGGTAATATAAAAAAAATGCAGCGGAAAATGCAAACAAAATATGAGATATTAAACAGTTGTTTAAATTTGTAATTTTCAAATTACATTATATTAAACATTTAGAGCTCTAATTTGTAACTAAAACATTCTTGCAGTGTACACGCATGGGCTCATCTGTGCAATTTGCCAGTGTGGGTGTTTATGATTACTTAAGTATGTGAAAGCACTTTCTCCCCCATTTCCTCACAACTTCCTGCCTTGACCTTTTGCTGGAGTTTATTTTTTGAATAAATTTTGCCCACCCATATAGATTTCTTTTAAGATATAAACTAATTCCCAAAATAACATTTTTGAAAAAACATTTGGCGGGAAATGCGAGCGTTGCCAGATCGCAGATTTCCAATGTTGGCCCACCAGGGCTGCATCTGTTTGCCATCAGCTGTTTTTTGTTTACTTGACGTTCCACTTTTTGTTGTGATTTTCCTGCGCCGGTGAAAAGTGCACGTTTTTCCCATTTTCACCGATATAAACAAAAGCTATTTATACGCGATCGGCCTAACAAGAGAGGCGAAGTAAGTGCGGCGGCAGAATTCTTTGTTTTAATAGGTGCCGCAGAGGTTTCCCGTTTTTGAATGCGTGCAGTTCGGCCCGTGGATGTGGCTATACATATGTATTATGTTGGCCAAAAACAAGGCGGCGGCCAATTAAAACAGCAGCAGCAGAAGAGGAAGCACACGATTTATTGGGCAATTGTGGCCAAGAATCCGAAAGAGGCCACTTTGCGCTTGTAAACAATCGGGTGAGTTTGTACAGAGAACTATTTCTGAAAGGAAGAGGACGTATCTCATATCTTATATCTACATCTTTCAGATGGTGAACCAGGATCGGATGTGATATGTGGATTACAGAAACAGATGTATCTTTAGTCATACAAACGAGTTCTACTTGCTTATGTACAAAGTAATACTCAAAACAGAGTCCTTTTCAACTACCAAGAAGTTTTCCCAATATACCATTTTTCAGAAGTGGATATACTATGCCAATTAGATGATAAGATAAGCCCCGAACCCGGAAACATTGAGACGCCTAAACCACTTGCCAAGAATTCGGGGGTAATTGGGGTCATCGCCTGTAAACAACCGGATCTGATTAACTTGTTGCAGTAGGTGAGCAAAATTAATTAGAACCCGGAACAGGACTCGTTTTCTTTCTGCACTCTGCCGACAATTTAATTAATGTATACACGTTTTCAGATGCGGCCACAATTAATTTACAAAACAATGGACTGATGCGAACAGTTGTTAGCCGATGTCTGCCAAAAAAAAGAGGAAAAAAACAGCACAAGGAAGGGCGACATCAGCAGAAACACTACAACAATTGCCAGAGCAGCAGCAACAATTGCAAGAAGTGCAGCACATATTGCCAGTACAACAGCAGCAACAACAGCAGCAAGTGCCACAAGAACAGCAACAACAGCAGCATGCCACTGCGGCAGCCCGGCCATATCAACATTTCGGCTAGAATTGAGCAATTTGCCAGTGCTGCTACCGCTGCGTATACGTAATATTATAAATAGGGCATCGCCCAGGCTGCAGGATGAACAAGCGCACCGTCGTCATCGCGGGCATCGTGGCCAGCCTCCTGGGCCTGGCGCTGGGTGCCAACTTCTACTTCATGTACTACCTGAGCGCCGAGGAGGGCCACCTGGCCAGCGTCCGGGCGCTGGAGAACATGATCCGGCACAAGATGCGCCACCTGAAGCCCAACTACCTCAATCGCAATCCGCGCTTCTTCATGTTCCGCAACAAGCTGCTCAAGAACTACAAGGCGGCGCCGTACGAGAACGCCAGTGTCCTCTGGGACATTGCCAACTGGGTGAGTCAGTGGGTTCAGAGGTCCCGCACGCAAAATCCTATCACTGAGGAAGAACAACTATTACGTACATAGTTGAGATGTGTGAATACATATATAATTTATATTGTGTACGAATTGTTTATTCGAGGTTAATGCGGCCTATTATTCTATTTTTTTTTGTATCTAAACGATTCAATTAGCACTCAATCTAATAACACACCTACACGTTCATTCCAGTGGCCCCACGAAAATGAGGTGTATCCATTGTACGACTCCTCCATGGGCCAGCTTTTGGAAACAATGCGCCGCGAACCGATTACCAGAGTGAGCAACCTGGCACGCGGCACCCAGCTGAAGTTGCTGATGCGCCTCTCGCAACAACAGAAGGTGATATTCAAGCCGCAATGGTATCCGCGGGACGAGGTCATCGAGGGCATGGTGTACAGCGGCAAGGATCGCCACACTGCGGAGGTATATGCCTTCTATCTGGGCGCCGTGCTCGACTTTCGATGGACGCCCATCGTGGTGGGTCGAGTGGTGAACTTGAAGAAGGAAATCTACGCCAACGGCGATCATGAGCTGCAGCAAACCATCAACATCGAAACGAACGAGGATGGCAAGGAGACATACTGTTTGTTTGGGAAGTGCCACTACTGCAACGAGGAGGAGACCGTCTGCGGTGATGAGAAGCACAATATCGAAGGTGTGCTCATCTATATTGTTCCGGGAACGATGGCCAAGCGGCGATCACCTTGGCAGCGCACCTATAAAGATGACAAAAGGGCTCCCTGGGAGGACGACATGACCTACTGCAAGTGAGTTGCACATTACTTTTTCAAAGCTTGAACTAAAAAATGCTCTTTTAGGTCGTTGAAAAATAAAATGGAGACAATTCGCCTACTGGACCTCATAGATGCGGCAATTTTCGACTATCTTATTCAGAATGGGGATCGCCACCACTATGAGACACGGGAAGAGCGCGTGGTGCTCATCGACAATGGCAAGGCCTTTGGCAACCCGAATAAGGATCACCTGGATATCCTGGCGCCACTCTACCAATGCTGCCTGTAAGACCCTAATCTACTGATATACCTATAAATATTCACATGTTTACCTTACCAGCCTGCGGAAGTCAACGTGGGACCGCCTGCAGGTCTTTTCCGGTGGCGTGCTGACGGAAATCATCGATCGGCTGTCTAAGCAGGATGCCCTCTATCCCCTCATCACGGATAAGCATAAAAAAGGGGTGGAGCGTCGACTGCTGGTAGTCTATGCGGTTGTGGAACACTGTATGGACATCGAGGGCGACAAAATGTTCAAAACTCTGTAGTTCAAGCTTGAGATTAAGGCGGAATGAGCCAGCACTAGAGCTTCCGGAACTCACTTTCCACGTCCTACTTAAGAACTTAGCTAATGCTAGCTAGAATTTTATCTAATAATTTTAGTCAATGTTTTCCTTCGTCGGCTGTCTATACTCTTCTCCAAAACCATAAAATATCCTAAAGTTAGCGATCCTTGTAGCCAAAACTATTTAGCGCAGGAATAATATTACCTTTTCCAAGTTTTTTAAATCTTTAAGCAAATAATTGATGGAGCAATTATGTCAAAAAGTTCGAAAAACCACGACGCCAGCCATTTAGAAATTTTAATATCGAGACTTTATCGAATGGAATGCAAAGTGCAGCATTTTTAAAAATGAAAACTCGGATAAAATCCATTAGCATGACAATTTCCACGACAATCTGTTTATAACTTATAATATTTTTCCATTTCAGCACTCTAAACCGAACCTTAAAAACATATCCGATAGTCTAGTTTAATGAATAGTTACGGTTGTTATTTAATAGGTAATATTTTAGGAAATTGCAAAATTAAAAATTATAGTTTTGTAACTTACAAAAATAAACAATTGTCTACATCAATTTTGGTGGTTTTTATATTTTTTCTGTTAAGTCCACATCTTAAATATATATATTTTTCATTATATATATTTAACGGACTTTCGTCACAATTGCTAACTATTTTTTGCCATCTTTCTTTACATTACTAAATGTAAATAGCTTGTTGAACTGCTTATTGTTGCGGTTGTTGGGACGGTTCTAAAAAAAAATTCAGGGATAAATAGTTAGTATCAGTAAATTCACTGGATTTGTATAGTTTCAAGGATTACATGGAGCAAAATACAGATTCAAAGTAATATCCAAGTGAAAGAAACACAAATTTGGTTAAGACTAAATATGTTTACACTCACCTTGCCGCGAATATTCTGCTTGATTTCTGTTCCTCGGGCTCTTTGCGCCCCTCCCTTGAATTGCCGGAAGTCCACGTTCTTGTAGTCAAAGTTACCTTCAGCCTTGGGCTGCGCAACCTGCTGGCTGGAGCTCTGCGGATGATTTCCCCGATTCTTGGCCTTAAAACCACGCTGGAACTGGTTTCGCTTCTGCTGCTTCTTGCTCTGTGCTGGCGGAGGTTTCGGTGGCTCTGTGGATTGCCTTTGTATGGGAACTTCCACGACCTCATCATCGCTTTCGCCTGGAACCTGATGAACTACTACTGCGGGTTCGGTTTTAACTGGCACTTCTGGCCTTACTATAGGCTTTGTGTTTTCATCCTTGCGGGATCTCTTACTGGTGGTCGGCTGCTGATCCGTATCCGCTTTGCCGTTTGTTTGGTGCTTGCGCTTTAGTTGCTCCCTTAGCGGCACGGAGTACATGGCATCGTCTTCATCCTTGATGACAATAGGTTCCAGCTTGATGTTCTGCTCCGGAGCTGGTGCCGCTGGACACAGACGCCTCTTGAGCAGCTCACTGCGCTCCCTGGCTACCTGATCCGCCTTCAGCTGTTCCATCAGCGGCAGAATGGCAAGATAACGTTTGTAGGGCATGCGCAGGGTCTGACTCTCCTTGCGCAGATGGGCCCATTGCTGCTCCTCTTCTGGGGTGCGTTTGGCTGGCTTGTCAAACAGAGCCATTGCTGGTGCCGCAATAGGTTGATCTTCTTTTGGAATATCCTCTTCTCTGGGCAGCTCGAGTTTTCCCGAAGCAGTACTGCGTTTTAACAGCGTGGGCAGATCGTCGCGGGTCTCGTCCTGATGCGAAAAGTCGTGCGGACAGTAGAGCTTGCTGCTGAAATCTTTGGTCGAGGGCGGCAGTGCTGCCTGTGTGCTGCTGCGGGCTTCCAAAATGGGCTGCAATAAGAAGTATAGTAGATTTTTAAGCCAAAAAGCACTGAAAACCTTAAAGGTACCAGGCATTCAGCCCAAATCATGCACAACTAATAATACAGTGAAAATCATAAAATAAAATAGAAAAATTATCAGAGATATAGTTCTCTTTGTTAGTTGAACGCAAATTTTAGAGGCAGCCTGGACTCAAGCTAACTTAAATTCAGTCTTCTGGATGTTATTAAATTCTGCGGATATTAAATGAACTAGACTAAGTGGGTAGAGATGTACTCTTCATTTCAACGTTAGTTACAATTAATAGATAATGAAAACATTTCGGAATAGGCACCGACGTTCAGCGAGTTGCAGGCGCTGCTTGAAAGCGCTGGGTAACTCACTTTGACCAGCGGCTGATCGCGCGCCTTGAGGACAATCTGGTGGAGCGTGTGCAGCTGTTGGCGCACCAGCGGCGGAATGGGATTGCAGCAGGCCAGGATGCCCTGCATCTCCCTGGGTAGACTCTCGGCGATTTGGAGCATCATGTGGTTGGGCAGCACGTAGCCATAACTCTCATCCTCTGACCGAGCAGTCGCATCGCGCCACTCGAAGATTCCGCGGAGGGCGTACAGCTGGCGGTTGTCGAAGGAACGTTTCGTTTTTCGCACCAAATCCATGTGAGATTCCGGTCCGATGTGAGGCTTGTTATAACGCTTCTTGCACACTTCAGTGCTCATTTGATAGACGCTGTTCAGGAGTCCTGGTTCCTTCTGCAGCAGCAGATCGTTTGTCATCCGTTCGTATACGTATATCAAAAAGTGCGTATCCTGCCGCGCATAGTCTATTAGCTGCTGAGGAAGTGGCCTCATTCGCCAATCAGCCAGTTGCAGACTCTTGTCAACATCCAAGTCCAGATAGTTCTTTAGCAGAAAGGCCAGCGATAATCTGGCCATGTTCAAGGCTTTGGCTGCCCGATGCGTGTCAAACATGTTGACAATATACAAGGACAAATCCCGCTGCAGCCACTCAATGTCCAAATCGGCGCCGTGCAAGATCTTTAGCTTCTTGGGATCTGTGAGAACCAGATTCAGAATGTGCATCTCATCGCGCAGGGTTAGGGTATCAAAAATATAATCTTTGTTGCGAGTGGACATCTGAACCAGACAAGTGATGCCCATGAAGGTGCGATACGAATGGTGCTCCACATCGATGGCGATCTGGGGTGCTTGTCTTAATTCCTCCAAGGCCTGCTGCAGGCTTTCAACCGTGTTCACCACCATTAGCTCGGTGTCTGCCATCAGAGCTGGAAGCACTGGCTTCTGTTTTTGGAGCTGCTCTGCCGGAGGCTGGAACTTGAGCAGCTCGAACTCGTAGGGATGCAAATAGGATTGAATATTGCCTGCATCATCGTATTCGGGCAGTAGTGCAAGCGGTTTCAGTGAATTGGGCTTCTCCTTAAGCCTGGGAACAAACGGATTATGGGCACTGTTGTCCACTGGCTCCTTGAATTGCGTCTGCGGGCGAACAATGTTTTTGGCCGTAAAAAGGCGAGCGGAAACCATGTTGCGTTGCGGTGTTCCTGTCGTTCTGTTCCAGCTGCCCGCCTTCGGAGTCTCTTGGGTTTGTGGAGAAGCCACCGCTGGCTCTGCGGAAGTGGAGCCGCTCATTACATCCACCTGGGCCTCCACGACCTGCTGTGGATTCCGGCGCAGACCGCTCTTGATGTCCAGATTGGTGGTGATGCGCTCGAACAGTATGTCGTTGCACTCCTGCACCATCTCAAACTGTTCTTCCAGTTGGCGTCTATGTGGAGAAGGCAGTTAGAGTATTATTAGCATTTTTATAAATATTTGTTGGGTATAAAATATCTTGACCTTGGATATATATCCTTATACGGATGCCTATACCTGACTGCTTTGACTTAAGAGGCTGAGATGTACGGATAATTTTAGAAGAACTTATAGAAGAACAAGAATAACAAGTGGTGAAATTCCATCTTATAGTTGTACTCTAAAGTAAGGCTATCAAAATGCATAGAAATATACTCTATTACCATCGTTGGAACCTTACTTTTTGATGTCGCCCTTGATCTCCTTGGCCTGGAACACGTTTCCGATGAGCCCCACCACCCGTTGGGACAGCTCGTCCATGACACGTGCGTAGCCCGGGTAGCTCAAATAGAGGGCGCGGGCGTTTCCCTGGGGAAAGGCGTTGGCCGCCCTCGTGGCTCCCACTACGTTCTTGAAGGCTTGCTGGAAAATTAGTTCCAAAGAAATATATTTAAAGCCATAATACAGGTAGAATCTCTACCCACGTTTGTGAACGCCTCGACGTCTTCGGGAGTGGATTCCTCCTGCGGCTGAGCTGCCTGGGCCTGCTCCTCGTTGGCCTCCAAGTGAGCTCTTTTCGGGGGTCGCGGCATGTCTGTATCTTTTGTGTCTTGTGTTCTTTTCGTAGAAATTTTTATTTCTTTTTACAGATTGTATAAAATGTGCGTGTTCTTCTCTTCTTCTTTTTTGAGAATAACAACAGCTAGAATTTGGAGTTTGTCAACACTACCGGCGGCGAAATTTGAACACTATCAGCACTACACGGTGCTGACCGAATTCGATCGAATCGAATCGATATTAGGAGGTGCGTATTTTAAAATTTTAGTCGAATTTGGAATAAAGATTTCGTAATGTTCAAATACTGACAGAAGCTGCTTCGATCCTAAATTTGAATTGAATTACATTTTTGAATTTACCTCTTCCTTTCATATTGAAAATAAATTATAAATAATCTAGCTATTTTCCAGCTGAATTTCTTTCTGTCGACGAAGACACTTCGCAGCACTGCTTGAATAGTTTAATTTAAAAACTAAACAAATAAGGTTTATTGTTATATATTTAATGCCATAATCACAATCTTAACTATGGTATACCTAGTTTAATTCATTTTTAATAGCCACCAAAAATATATCTTGCAATTTTGTTCGCCAGCTGACTGCCAGTGTGTACACACCTCCATGCCACCGGCAAAAACCGGAGGCCGGGAAGAAGAAGCAGCTACTCCATCGGGAAGCAACGGAGTTACGTGCTAAAAAAGTAATTATTGAGCCTAAGTTAAGTCCGTTTTAGAGATACCCCCAACCCCAAGATGATGGACTTGTACAGGCGCACGGTGGCGCGGTTTCCGCTGGGCAGCGTGAGCTATATGTTTGCCTACGGATCCGGCGTTAAACAGCAGGAGGGCTATGAAAAACTGGGCAATGGAAATGGCTATCGTCCGGCGCCGGGAAGCGTTGTAGATCTGGTCTTTTGCGTAAGGGATGCTCAGGGATTCCATGCCGAGAACCTGCACCGGCATCCTGATCACTATTCCGCTCTGAGGCTCCTGGGAGCGGGCTTTGTGGCCAAATACCAGGAGCGCTTGGGTGCCGGCGTCTACTGCAACACTCTGGTGCCCCTGGCGGATGTGGGTCTCACCATAAAGTATGGAGTGGTGTCGCAGGAACAGCTTCTGGAGGATCTGCTGGACTGGCGGCATCTCTATCTGGCTGGCAGGCTGCACAAACCCGTGACGAATCTGGTGAATCCCTCAGATAATCCGCCCCTGAAGGCTGCGCTGGACAGGAATCTTTTGTCCGCCCTGCAAGTGGCTCTGCTACTATTACCCGAGAAGTTCACCGCCTACGGACTTTTCCACACCATTGCTGCACTGAGCTACAAAGGGGATTTCCGCATGATCTTCGGCGAAAACAAGCAGAAGGTGCACAACATCGTTAACCCGCAAATCAACGACTTCTTTGCCTTGTACCAACCGTCTTTGGGTCAACTCACCCAGTATGTGGCTGTCAATATGAAGGGCCACGAGCCGGGAAGCCGCGAGCCAACCATACTCTTCGAGCAGGACAAATCCTCGTCGGCCACGTCCCATCACCTGCGACAGTTGCCTTCTGAGCTCAAGAATCGCCTGGAGCGGAATGCCGCATGTAAGGGTGATTATGCTGAGGTGGTGGACCACCTCTCCGTGGCCTCCCAGCTGCCCGAGGTGCTCCAGGCGTCCGTCAACGACATTGTGTGGCGCAGCAGTGTCACGCAATCGATCAAAAACATTGCCAGCGCAGGCGTTCTCAAATCCCTGGTCTACAGCTACCGCAAGGCCCAGAAAACATTCGCTGTCTAGGTTTCTTTTTGGGGTAATCCCCTGGCTGCCAATCTACCGACTAAGTTGCCCCTTCCAGCTGCATTTCGTTACATAATTTTAAGCTTTAAAGTTGTTAACTGCAATATATGTTTAGCCCAAGCCAAAGAACTGAGTTTTCTTGGGGATCTAAGAACGACTCTAGGAAGGCAGTTTATGGAACTGGAGCCTGTCGCTAGCAGAGGAACACCGTAGTGGTTCTGCAAGGAAATTACACCATTCTTCTTAATTTTGCCATTGTGAATAGTCTTTTTGTTACAAGCTTGCTTAATTTATAAATGTTTCTTTACAGATCATGTCCACCGATGATAGTTGTAGTGACAGCAGTTCCTCCAGCGACGAAAGACACCGGAAACGGAAGCACAAGAAGCATAGCAAAGATGTGGACAAGTCCAAAAAGAAGAAGTCAAAAAAGCACAAGAAGGAGAAGCGTCGCCACAAGGAGAAAAAGCGCAGCAAGCAGGAGGAGGAGCAGCCAGTGACTTATCCCCAACCTCCAGCTTTGTTGAATGCACCTTCTCCAGATGTGGCTTCAAATAGCGAAGATGCCTTCGGTCCTGCCCTGCCACCGCATTTGAGAAAACCAAATCAACCGGAAATTGAAGAGGATATCCAACCGAAAACACAACCGCATGCCATAATTGGACCCATTCTGCCTAGCAGTTTGGCTCAAGAAAAGTCGCCTATTAAAGATGCCGATGCGGAGGATGATGATGATGATCTAGCTGGCACATTTGGCCCCCTGCCAAACGCCAGCCAAGTGGCCTTGGAGGAGCGTGCTCTGGCCCTCAAATTGGCAGCTCTGGAGGGCGGAGGATTGGGTACTTCAGCAGACCAAGAAGTGCGCGAAGAGTGGATGCTGGAACTTCCAGATGTGGGATTAAAAAGCGGTCTTGCCGCCCTCAGCAATATGAAGCGCACCTTCCATCAGGGAAAGGAGCGACCTGACTTCAGCGATCGAACCTCATGGACAAAGACGCCCCAGAGTGAAGCGGCTGCTGCTGCAGCGGGTCCAAAATCCCTCAGCTCCAAGGAACTGGAGCAGATGGCTCAGTTGAAGTACGAGCAGCAGCGCGATGATGAACAGGAGAGCATGGCCAAGAAACACAAAAAGAAGCACAAACGTGAGGAGTCTCTGGTGGATCTGCACCAGAAAAAGCTAAGGAAGGAGCAGAGGGAAAAGGTTGGAAGGAAATTAATTCTTAGTGTTTTTTTATTGACTTTACATATTATATTATATTTAAGGAAAAGGAACTGGCTGCCTCGGGTTCCAAGCCAGAAAGAAGACCCTTCAGCAGGGATGTGGACCTGAAGCTCAACAAGATCGACAAGAATCAAACCAAGCAGATTGTGGACAAGGCCAAGATACTCAACACCAAGTTTTCTAGGGGTCAGGCGAAGTATTTGTAAAATGGATGGACCATATTAAATTCAATATACACAATTTTTAAGAAATTTACTAGGTTGTATGTTTAAAATAAGTAATATAGATACAATTATTTGAAAACGCTCAAAATTAGTATTTTTAAGTAAATATAAATTGGACTTTTTATCAACTGTGGAATATTTATAATAACACGTGAAAGGAAAAAAACTTAAGATCAAAAAGTTCTTCAATAAAAAAAAATTAGACTTTTATATTTCTAGAGATTTAGTTGCTTAATCACATGGCTTAAACCTCGGTTTAATCGACATAAATAAGATGACATACACATAGTTGGACAATACAAGCTAGAGGAGTAGAAAAATATGAGGCATTTTTAGCGCTGTGGCGGTGGTTTCGGCTTTGGAATCTTTGAGAGCAGCATCTGAATCTCGTCCTTCTCCTTCCAGTCCTTCCACAACTCGTACAGATTGACAATGGCGCGCACAATCTCCTGGACCTTGTCCAGATCAACATTCAACTCAGCGAACCACTGCTTTGTGGCGTCCTTTTGCAGGATGACGCAGGCGATCTGCAGGCAGGCAATGGCGATCTAAAAGAAAGAGGTTTGTGAGATAAGAGGACTAGCAAAAGATCTGGATAACCCACCTGGTAGGGAGGATACAGGAGGCAGACATCGGTTCGCAGGGAATCGTTGACGATGCGCCAACTCAAGGTGAGCAGCTGGTCCTCCTGGCCCATGTCCTGGACCAACTGCAGCAGCGGTCTGTACGGCTGGTAGACGATCAGGCAGCAATCCAGGTTCTCCAGGAGGTAAAACTCGCATTCCAGGATGTGATTGGTGCGGTAGGGAAACTCTTGGGCATACGCATAACTGAACTTTGTCTTAATTGCCGACTGGCATATGGAAATCAGTCGGGAATTGGAAATGACGCCGAACTCCTCCACCTTGGAGGCCAGCAGGATGCAAGTGGGCGCCAGCAGCAGAGGATCAATGTTTTTCAACGAGTTCCTCGCGTAGAAACGCTTAAAGTACACCGTGGCCGTGGCAATGACCTGCTGGCGCAGCTTTAGCTGCTCTCCCAGCACCTGGATCACGTTGGCGAAGAAGATAAACACCTTTTGGTACTCATCCTCGTTCAGAGCCAACAAATCGTGCTGACGCTCCCGGAGCAAATCAGGTTTGTCCAGAATCCACTGCTGTGAGTGTGAGCTTTGCCAGAAATTTCCCGCCATTTCGACGAGCAGTAGGCCGAGCAACCTAGGCCGGCCAAGAGTTTTGCGTTAGCTATCCAAATTAAAGGTTTATTTCAAAAGAAAGCCAGAAAGCCGGAAAAATCGAGCAATTGTGTTGCTTTAACAGACAGTGTGTGCACACCTGTGGTAATTTCCTCAAACAGCTGATTGGCCGCAGACTCGATAAAAATCGATTCCCGATAGGCGTGTGTTTGTGTGTGTAAGTTTTTCAGCCGCGGCCACAGACGAAAAAGTCTAAAATATTTTTTAGTTAATAGGCTATTTAAACGAATTAACTGAACGATGGCGTTGCGAGTTCTTGGAGTGACGCAGAACATGCGCTCCTTCATCCGGGGCGTTGACATGGTCAAGGTGAGTAGATCCAGCCACCCAATGATTACGCTCCACAGGATTTAAATTACGTAATTGTCAATAGTTGTGTTTCTGCTGTGTTTTTGGTGAAAACTAGTAATAATAGGGATAAACAATCTCCTTGTGGTGGGTTCTTAAGATGTGGGAGGTATTTCTGACGAAAATTTGGAAAATTCTTACAGGGAAACCCCTTACAATCACTTTGAGGTTATGTTCGTGTTTTACTTAACTTTGGTCTAAAGTTTTCCCTATTTTCCCAAACTTACAGCGCTACAAGTCGGCTGCCACGCTGCAGAAGACCCTGCTGAACATACCCGCCACCCAGGTGACCAAGCTGGACAATGGTCTCCGCGTGGCCAGCGAGGATTCCGGCGCCTCCACCGCCACCGTGGGTCTTTGGATCGATGCGGGCTCGCGGTCCGAGAACGAGAAGAACAACGGAGTGGCCCACTTCCTGGAGCACATGGCCTTCAAGGTGGGTCCACCAAGTTTAGCCCTCTAACAGCCTGGTAATCCATTTTTTCCCCCTTTCAGGGCACTGCCAAGCGCTCGCAGACCGATCTCGAGCTGGAGGTGGAGAACCTGGGCGCCCATTTGAACGCCTACACCTCCCGGGAGCAGACCGTCTTCTACGCCAAGTGCCTGTCCAAGGATGTGCCCAAGGCCGTTGAGATCCTAGCCGACATCATCCAGAACTCCAAGCTGGGCGAGGCTGAGATCGCCCGCGAGCGCTCGGTGATTCTGCGCGAGATGCAGGAGGTGGAGAGCAACCTGCAGGAAGTGGTCTTCGATCACCTGCACGCCACCGCCTACCAGGGCACTCCTCTGGGCCAGACCATCCTGGGACCCACCAAGAACATTCAGTGCGTTTCTCTATTGACCTTAAGAAATCTACAGCCTTGCTTAACTCTTTTGATTTCCTCAGGTCCATTGGCAAATCCGACCTGACCGACTACATCTCGACCCACTACAAGGCTTCGCGCATCGTTCTGGCCGCCGCTGGCGGCGTCAAGCACGATGACCTGGTCAAGCTGGCCTGCGGCAGCTTGGGTGGCCTGGAGGCCAGTGTGCTGCCCGCTGAGGTGACTCCCTGCCGCTTCACCGGCTCCGAGGTGCGCGTGCGCGACGACTCCCTGCCCCTGGCCCATGTGGCCATCGCCGTCGAGGGCTGCGGCTGGACCGACCAGGACAACATCCCCCTTATGGTGGCCAACACCCTGGTGGGTGCCTGGGATCGTTCTCAGGGCGGTGGCGCCAACAACGCCTCCAACCTGGCCCGTGCCAGCGCTGAGGACAGTGAGTAATCCTACAAGGTTACGAGGATTTCCATATTAAGTATTATTTTTCCTTACAGACCTCTGCCACAGCTTCCAGTCGTTCAACACATGCTATAAGGACACCGGTCTCTGGGGCATTTACTTCGTCTGCGACCCTCTGCAGTGTGAGGTAAGTTACGAGTTCTAAGGATTAGGTTTGATAGGCATATTATCTGTGATAAATATAATGTAATATCTTCTATAACGCTTTGTCTCTCCTCCCCAGGACATGCTCTTTAACGTGCAGACCGAGTGGATGCGCCTGTGCACCATGGTCACCGAGGCCGAGGTCGAGCGCGCCAAGAACCTGCTGAAGACCAACATGCTGCTGCAACTGGACGGCACCACGCCCATCTGCGAGGACATTGGCCGCCAGATCCTGTGCTACAACCGCCGCATCCCTCTGCACGAGCTGGAGCAGCGCATTGATGCCGTGAGTGTGGGCAATGTGCGCGACGTGGCCATGAAGTACATCTACGACCGGTGCCCAGCCGTCGCTGCTGTGGGTCCCGTTGAGAACCTGCCCGACTACAACAGAATCCGCTCCTCCATGTACTGGCTCAGGGTCTAAGAGGTTCCACCGCTCTTGTTGGACATTGTAGTTTAATTCAAAAAAAAATTTCGCCCGCAGAGGATCAGTAAACCGATAATACTAACAGTTATACACACAGTGCTAGCCCTTTATTGATGAGTGTAGTTAATGGGAATGCCGCTAAGTCCCTGCTGCAGCTGGGCGGGCTCTGTCTGGCCCAAGGCAGGGTCCAATCCCTGCCAGGTGCGGTCCTCAAAGGAGAGCCCCGTGTCCGTGGTCATCAAGGCCATTTTGGCTTGTGTGGCCAGCGCCAGCGAAGCGGGATCTCCTGCCGTTTCCAGGGAATCGTTGACCGCTCCCCTTAGTCTTCCACTGACCAAGCTCACATCGTTCTCTGGTATGTCAGCCGCATTGAAGGGCAGGAAGCTGCGTCCCTCCGGCAGTAGTTGCTTGAAGTCCGTTACATAGGCTTCGGGATATCTCATGTGCCAAGCGGGGTTTAGGGCCATTTCGGCCTCGAAGACGGAAACAATAGGCTTGTAGTACTCCTTGGAGTCGTACATGTTGTTGAAAGGGCAGCCGATCAGGACAAAGCAATCGATCTCCAGGAAGTTCGCCAGCTTGGCGGGATTTATCCTGCCCACTGATATGAGCTGTGTCTTAATGCCTCTGCCCTTGGCCATCGATTGCAGTCGCGCCACCACATCCAGGTAGCCCTCAGCCGAGAGAGTGGCCACAATCAGGCCCAGAGTCTGCGCATCCTTGCACTTTTCGATGTGGAAATAGCGACGCCGGATGAACTGAGCCGTGAGGGGATTCTTGGAGCTGAGACTGCCACTGGCACCATCGTAGATGTGCCACTGGACGGCAGCTAGAGCGGTCAGGGAGAGATTGGCGAACCGCTGGTTATCGGCGCCAATGAAAATGCAAATCCGCTCGAGATCTGAAGGCTCTTTGGAGGCCGTTGAATCCGCCTCAATAGGAGGAAAAAGCTCCAGCAGGAGATTCTTGGGCTCCAGTGCCTCTGTCAGCTGCTTCTTTAGCTGTTCATCGTAGATATGCTGGTAGCCAATGTCCAGGTAGACGCACACCTGCCTTTCCTTGCTCTCCTCACGCAGACTTTGAAGCTTTTCCAGGAGAAGACCCACGTCCAGGGGCAACTCTGGATAGAGGTAAAGCACTGGCAAGCGGGATGCCCTGCTGCGACAGGCATTCCCGAAGTGAATCACACTGTCGGCATCCACATGGGCAGCCGCAATCTCGTCCACGCAGCAGCTTCCGTATGTGGTGTCGGCCAAGATGAAGACCTTCACCTCCTCCGGCGAAAGTAGCTGCTTGAGGGCCACACTAATGGCATTGCTATGGGGCAGATAGTCGTCCGGGAATTGCAAACAAACCTGGCGAAGGACAACTTAGTTATGGCTCCTTAAATATAACCCATATACACACCCTTTTGTAGCTATTTTCTCGTATCCAATCGACGCTCTTTTTACTGTGGTTTTCGTTCCAAATCTGTTCGAAGGTCACCGGGTGCTCCGTTTCCGTCTGACGCTCCAAGGCGGCGGTGTCCGAGCTGGAGAAAGCCGATGCAGATGTTTCGGAGGAGCTCATTTCCAGTCGATGTTTAAAAATTTCCTTTGTCTTGTCCAGTAAAATGATCAATTGTAATATAAAATAAACAATAGAGGTGGGTAAACATTGATGATATCTAAATATCGGTAAAATCGATATTTACCAAAGCATTATCGATTACTCTTATCGTTTAATTTATTGTAATTATTAATATTATTCCTTATAAACTGTATATATAAAATGCAGGATCCAGAACGTTAATAATATTTTTAAGTATAACAATTTCTTGATTAACATTAAATCACGTGATCAGTGATCACGTTATTCCGGTGAATGCACCCACAATCAGCGAAGACTCAAACCTACTTTATTGTGTGACCACACGAATTTGTTTTCTAATTTGAATAATTTTCTGTTGAAGCACATGCAAGTTGAAAATTCTAATTAGTTTAGCAAAGTTTCCCCAACAGAATTTAATACAAGAAATCTCACTGAAAGACCCAAAACTTGGCTATAACATTTCATGGACATCTTCCAGGTGCTGATCTTGACCCGAATTTACCTTTTGGAACGCCTACCAACACTTGTTGCTTTCTCCATTTCCCCAACTAAATTTCACCTAAGCAGAAGAGTTCCCGAAAAGTATGAAAAACCGAAATCTTCGCTGTATCGTGAACAATTGTTATGAAAGTGGTCAGCAGGACAGAAGCTCTATGTTCAAGCTTCCCATGAATCCGGTTATTAGGCAAAAGTGGATGGAGAACATTGGGATCTTCAAAGACATAAACTTGTTCAACAGCAGGGTGTGTAGGCGTCACTTTGAGACCCATTGTTTAGGCAAGACCAAAGTGCTTTCCTGGGCAGTTCCCACGCTGTTTTTGGGTAAGATTAACTTCAAAATCTGAAAAAGAAGCTCCCTAAACATTTTGTCTTCACCATTCCAGGTGAAAAAGAGGTTTTGCACCATAGTAGAAAACCAGAGAAGAGTCCCATTAATCGCAAATGTAGCGTCAGGGGCTGCCCATCAAGATCTTCAACAGAAAGACTGCACTTCTTTCCCACGGATCCCGAGCTGCGCAAGAAGTGGATTGACATATGTCACCTAACAGTGGACAACAAGTGGCTTTTCATTTGCGGCAGGCACTTCCGCCGCAACTACCTGCCCAATAACAAAGGCAACCTTAAAAGGGACGCTATTCCAGAGTTCAATCTGGGAATAGAAAGCGAAGATCCCCTGGGAAAGGGCCACAAGTGTAGGAAATCATTTCCTAAGAGAAGAAAACCCCGTTCCAAGAGCGACGACTCTGGCATCGATGAGGAAAATTCCAAGGAGAGTGGGTCCCAGGAATTCTGCTTCAACTCCAAGGAGAGTAGACCCCAGGAATCCTGCTCCAACTGCCTTGACCTTAAACAACAATTGGCAGCTGCCCTCCTTAAAATTCAGCAGCTTGAGGAGGGACAACATGCTGCAACAGATAGCGACGAGGAGGAAGAGCTCATTTTCATGCTAATGAAGTAGCCTTAAAGTACCTTTATTCTAGTGCATCACCAGCTCCAGTTGAATCAGTCGCCTGTTGGTGTCGTAGGGCAGGCGATATGGGATGGTGGCTGCCATGTTGGACAGGGCTTTGGCCCGCTGCCGGAGCTGCTGCATCTGACTCTGTTCCAGAGAGCCGGCCATTCCAGTCTTGAGCTGCTTGTACTGCCGCTGGGCGATGTCCATGGCGGCCACAATGACGTCGGGCAGCACCTTGATCACCTCGCCACTCAGACGCTTTACATTGGCCAGACACATCTCCACATCGTCCGTCGTGTTGGGCATAAGCTGGGTCTGCCGGAGCTGCTCCAAAGCCGCGTTGAGCTTCCCCTCGTGATAGAAGTTGAAGAAGATCAGCAGATCCTGCAGCAGCACAAAGCTGCTCTTCATTTTGGGCTCCACCTCAATGCTGTCGCTGGCCAGCAGCTGGCTGTATCTCTGGGCCTCCTGGCCAAGGCGCTCTCTCAGTGATCCGCCCAGCGTGGGCAGCTGCACCACCTGGGCCAGCAGAATGCAAATGTGCTTCAGGGCCAGGTTATACTTGCCGGCCATTTCATAGAGTCGCGCCGAAATCTCAAAGTTGCCCAGCGAAGCCAGCTCGTCGGCCACCAAAGCAGCCATGGTGCGAGTGTCGAACTCGGGGCAGTCAAACTGGCGGAAGAGGCCACTGAAAGCAAGAGAGACATAAACTTAAGACTGATTAAAATGCAAATAAAACTGCCAGCTCACCTGTTAACCTCATCTTGTTCATTTGCCTGCCGCTGGCCGAATATCAGATCGAATATAGTGGTATCAAAAACTCCACTGTCCACCACCACATCGCACACGCATGCCAAGAACATGTTCCGCCCCTTGGGATCCCTCAGGCAGCGCAGGGTGTAGTAGTAGTGCAGAGCCTCCGTGGTGTCCGTGCGCTCAAATCGCTGTACATACTGACGGATCAGGCGGGTTAGGTTGAGGCGTCTCAGGGGCTGCGGATCCATGATATCAATCGAGAGCAGGGGCTGCGACACACTGCGCGCCCCGCCCAGAAGACCCAACTCGTGCAGCGCTATGGCCATGTGAACAGCATGGACGCAGGTGTCATCTCGGCGGGCTAGGAACTCGATGGCGGCCTCAAACTGGCCGGTGAGTGCGAGGGTCTCAAAGTACAGATGCGGTTGCTGGCCGGCATTAAAGTACTTCTCGCCGTACTTCTCCAGGATCAGTGACTGCAGTTTGCCATAGCTGGCGGCGTCACCGGGCTGAAGCATGGCCAGCCGGATCCACAGGAAGTCGTCTATGGTCTTGGCCACCTCGCCGTGCACCTCGTTGACATCGCAGCCCAAGAGGATGCAGTAAACAGCCTTCTTGTAGGCATCGGTGGAGTTGCGTATCTTGTTGGCGTACTGCAGGCGCAGTTGATTTTCAATCCTCGAATTGGTTTCGCCCGCATTCCGATCAGCCACCAGCTGGGCGAACTCTTCATGGCTGCTGCCCGCCTCGCGCAGGAACTCAACTGCCGTGTCTGCTGATCCACAGCGTAGTCCGTAGTAGACCAGCGGCCACAAGGGTCGGTCGCCCACGGTGTCCACCAGTCCTATGGTCTGCTGGGCACTGAACCGGTGGCTAACATAGGCCAAAACCAACTGATAGTTGTTGCTGGCATAGGAGCCGCCCACTTGGGAGCGCATGAACACTCGGTAGCGACGTTCCAGGTAGGATTTGGCGTGGTTAACGAACTCCGGCCTCTGCTGTCGGCTCTTGATGGGATCGCTGTGCAGGGGCTCGCTTATCTGCGAGACGCAAGCCAGCAGGGTCCACATGTCCGACACCCGGGAGTCGCCAAAGCTCTGGGACAGCTGGGCAAACTTCTGGATGAGATTGGGCCGGGGGCTGCCCTTCAGCAGCAATTCGTTGTAGTGGCGCAATTCTTGGGCGTACACCAGTTCCAGCGGATCGAGGCAGGAACGTGGCTGGCAGTGTGGATTCAGGAGGGTGGGATCGGGCAAGCGCTGCAGGTCGATGAAGTTCTGCGAGGGCGCGATCAGGGCGTCCAGCAGGCGGGTCTTCTCCTCGTTCCAGGCGCTGATCATGCTGGCCCACTTCTGTTTGCTCACAGAGTCGCTGATCTGGGGATTGAATTGGATTGGAGGTGTTAGTGATTGTTTGGTTACCCGGCTGTTTACCCACATTCTTCTTGGTGTCCTCGATCACAGAGAGGATGGCGTTCTCGCGCTCATTCTTCAGGAAGGTGCGCACATCCGTGTCCGCCTTTACGTCCAGGGGCTCAAAGGTTTTCCGGGCACTCAGCGCCTCTAGCTTCTGGTTCAGCTTGGGCAGGTCCACGCCCTTTGAGCCAAGGAGAATGTGCCTGGAAAGTAAGGTAGATCTTGAGCTCTGGATTCGGTTTCATTGCAGATTGTTTACTTACGCCTGAATCTCCTTGCCGCCGGTTTGGGTGACGCGCGAGTGCAGCTCCGTGGTGGCCTGTAGGACCTGCTGGAGGGTGCGCTCTACGGCGGGCAGCTCGCACTCCGCCTTCGCCTCATTGGTCAGGTTCTGGGCCCGCTGCAGCAGAGTGTTCAGGTCCATTTTCGCAAATAAATGATTTCACCAAATTCCGCCGCTTCACGCCACCACAAGATTAGAGATGACACTATCGATGTTTTGACTATCGAACTTGGTTCAGTTCGGAGGCAACCGATAAGTGATTACATTAAATTGTGAAAAATGTATATTTATAATTATAAATCGACAAAAAGATTAAATAAAGTACATTCCATGTTCATAGCTAATAAATTTAAAAATATTTTATATTTTAAGCGAAATATGTTTTAATAACCTATATTTAATTGCAAAAATATTATAATCAGTTCAACCATCACTAGTAAGTATCGATAGTTTTTTCGATAGTGCAACTTGATAAGCTCAACATCCCCATCCCTAAAAACGTGATAAACACGCTCGTTTTGTTTTCATAGTTGGATCTACTTGTTGACTGCTTAAAATGGCCCTTTTGACTGAGAAGCGTGTTAAGAAGACTCCTGCTCCTGCAGCCGACAGTTCCGCGGGGGAATCCGACTCCGAGGCCGCTCAGAGTTCCGGCAACGAGGCGGAGGGCAACGCCGGCTGGGCGGACTCCATCCTGAAAGTGCTGAAGACCACCAAGCCGGAGACCCAAAATAAAACAGTGCTGGCCAGGGCCAAGAACAGCCAGGCGGCTGTGCGATTCCAGAAAGCCGCGGCCTCCAAGAAGCCGGGATTCGACTTCGAGATTGAGAAAACAGAGGTGAAAGACGAAGACGATGAGAGCGACGACGAGGATGAGAAACCAGAGGTGTCTGCTTTGGATGCGACACTGACCAAACAGCAGCGAAAGAATGTGCCCCTCCAGCTGAGGGTTAAGCCCAGTTTCCGGGACATGGAGCGCGAACGAACGCTGCGCAAAGTGGCCACCCGCGGAGTTGTGCAGTTCTTCAACGCCGTGCGCATCCAGCAGAAGGATCTGCAGCAGCAGCTGGAGGAAGCGGGCCCGCTGGACAGCCGGCAGGATGCAGTGCTCAACAACATCAACAAGCGCAAGTTCCTTGATGTTCTAATGAGCGGCAAGCGCGCCAAATCCACAGCCGTAGACAACGCGGTAAAGAAAGAGGAACAAGAAACGGATGACGACGACGAGGATGAGGGCTCCAGCGGCAAAAAGAAGTCAGAATGGAGCGTGCTGCGCGAGGACTTCATGACGAACAAGAAGATCAAGCACTGGGACGAGGAAGACGACGACGAGGAGGGCAACAATGATGAGGCCGACGACAGCGACGACGATGATGAGGGGGATGATTAGCTTTAATTACCAAATAAACGTTAGCTTTTCAATTAAACTTTTATTTAATGGGTTATGCAATCATTTCCGCCTTGGAGGTCATGTAGATGGCCACGATCAGGCCAAAAAGGCCGATGGCCGAGCCAAAGATCTCCACGATGAGGATCTTGACGAACAGCGCCGAGTTGGCCGCGTCCGCCAGGGCAGCGCCGGAGCCCACGACGCCCACTGCAATGCCGCAAGCTACGTTCACAAGTCCCGTGCACAGACCGGCTCCAAACACGGCGAATCCCGTGAACATGTTCATCGACATCACTTCCTTGTTGGTGATCAGCCGCACGCTGCTGAACTGCACGAGACTACCGGAGAGCAGGATGGCCGTGATCAGGCCGTAGATGGCCACCGCCTCGCAGAAGATGACCGAGATCAGGTTCTTGGTCTTGATGCGGGGCGATCGCACCCCGCCGCCGGCCACGCTGCTTCCGATCATGTAAATCCCACTGGCAGCGCCCAGAACGGAGAGGGCGCAGGCGAGGAAGATCCCCAGGCCGGACCACAAGAAGGGATTTGAGGTGTACAGGAACCAGCCAAGGCCAATGCGCTCGCCCATTCCGGTCATCACGTTGGCCAGGATCAGGCCAACCATACCCAAGGTGGCGGCGCCAAGAACAAACAGCACGAAAAACGTTCCAAACTTCATTTTGCAGCTTTGAACCAGTCGCTTTAGGATTAAAGATTCCTATGCTTGACGAAACTGACAGACAAATAAAAGCCGGAAATTAACAATATCAAGCTATTTGTTTCAAAAGAATGAAATAAAACAAGAGGTATAAAATACATTGCTGTATTTAGTTAGAAGATGAAATGATTACATAACAACGTATGTACGTTTGCATCAGTTCGTGAAAATGAGAAAGAAATCGCAGCTTAACGATTCGACTTGGCCACGCGCTCCAGTTCGTCCTTCTTCTTGATGGCATACGAATTTGAAGATCCCTTGGCAGCGTTTATAAGCTCATCGGCCAGGCACTCGGCTACGGTTTTGATGTTACGGAATGCAGCCTCACGTGCTCCAGTGCAAATAAGCCAAATCGCCTGTAAACAGAGATCATTGTAATAATGTTAATAAAAATGTGGTACCGAAAATGATTTATTTTATACTTATAAACAGAGTCAAGTCTTAATGACACAACAAATTAATATTAATAATTTTAACTGTCGGGATTAGAAAAAGGTTTACTTTAAGAGTGTTCCAATTCAGTACTTTTTAAATAGTATTAACACAATCAATCGTGCTACATTTCACGCAGATTGAAAATTTGATAATTCTTAAGATAAGCTAATTGTTTACGAAATCGAAACTAATTGGAACTCCGGTACAAAAAAATAGAAAATAATTATTAAAATGAATTAATATGTTTTGAATGTAATGAATAAATGTTCTTTACAAGTTTCTTTTTCTAAAAGCTAATAGAAAGAAATTGACTAGACTATTGATTGACTACTTTCCTATCTTTAAAAAGCATAGTTATTATGCAAAAACAGATTAATGATAATGCTGTTCATCTTAATCGAGCGATAACTATCAACTATCGTTAAAACGATGGGGATTTCGTTCTATTTTGCAAAATAAGCTAATTTTTTCGAATTCATACGAGTTAATTATTCCAAAGTATTCCAAACAAATTCTTCTCCAAAGGAATTCAAAGGTTTTGTTAACTTTGATTTGGGATATAAGAAATGTTCGTAGCTACAGGAAGGTACTGTATAACAGTGGTGGCCAATAAAAGCTGCGCAGGCGGACCACGGGGCAATACTTCTGCCGCACTTCTGCTGATGTTATGCAGTGCATGTCATGTCATGTATATTTCTTTTAAGAAGCAATGGTGTTAATCTATCCCTTGTTTTTCTTACAAATACTTATTTACATACATATATCGGTAGTCGGCACACTATCCAATAACATTTTGTTTTTCGTTTGCACTGGGCAGTTCATCGATGTGTGAGCCGACCACTGTCATACACTGTTCGTGTTGCGGCAGAGATAGCCGATCTATATTTACCTGGTTGACGCGCCTCAAGGGCGACACATCGACGGCCTGGCGGCGCACGGTGCCGGCGCGTCCGATGCGCGTGGAGTCCTCGCGGGGACCGGAGTTGACGATGGCGTTGACCGTCACCTGAAGCGGATTCTCCGAGGTCAGCAGGTGGATGATCTCGAAGGCGTGCTTGACGATGCGGCAGGCGAGGAGCTTCTTGCCGTTACTGCGGCCCTTCATCATCAGGCCACTGGTGAGGCGCTCCACGATGGGGCACTGAGCCTTGCGGAACCGCTTGGCCGCATAGCGTCCGGCGGAGTGCGGCAGGTAGCGGGCGAACTTCTCCTTGACGGCAATGTAGTCCTGCAGCGAGATGTCGCTGATCGAGATGTCGTCGCAGGCCCAGCGGCCGAAGAGCTTGATTTCCGGCCATTCGGTGGCCTGCTGGGCGGGCATCGTGGTGGCGCCCTCCTCCTCCCAGACTTCCTCGTCCTGTGGCTGCGGCGGCAGGAGGCCCGCATCCTGGTTGGTCGACTCCACCACTTCCTCGGACATTTTGGGGGGCAGTTAAGGTTGAATCCCGGGAAGAAATTCGAAAAGCGTGCGACTTGGAAATCGTTTTCCGCCGAAAGAAAGAGGATGCAAAGGGAAACGGTAAAAGAAGCTGTCACTTTCAAAATGGCCGCCAAATGCAACTCTGCGCCACGGGGCTGCCAACTTCGAGCGTCTTTAAGCGGGAATTCAAATTAAACGATAGCTTTTGTTGCTTTTATACTCATTACTGGTGGGGTATATTGTTTTATTGGTAATATAATATATAATAATATATAATATATAATATAATATAAAAATATAATAGGTTTCCAACTTGACAACAGGGTAACGAATATTAAATAGTCGTAAACTTGTTCAAAAATTAATGTTAGTTATTGTATTGTAGTTGAAAATATGTTATTTTTTTGTTATGTTGTTTCTTTATTTGTAATAAATTATATTACATTTTAACACACACTTTCGTTTTTTTTTTATCCCCTGGAAACGAGCCCAAAATAAGATAACGATTAAATTCGGAATTGCAAGCCATTAATTTATTTATTCGTTAGGCATGTACTTGCTTCACAACAGAAGTGACAAACGCGAATGAAACCTATCTTGCAAAGTTTAAAATGAGTAAAGTCAAGTCATCAAAAAATTATTTTCTGCTGACATGACATAAAATTGCCTGCCGTAAACATTTATGGTATTCAATTGCGTTGCTAAAGTGTAAACTTTGTAAGTTTGCCAGACGAGAATTGTGAACGCCCTCTATTTTAAAATATCGTTGCAGGAAATTGACGTACAAAATAACGCAAACTTTTAAATTTTTGTGAAAAGAAGGCTATGACATTTTCTGTCATTAAAACCCAACTTTTCAGTATACTTTTAGTATTTTAGATAAAATTCCTACCCATTATTAACCCCCTATTTCTACACAAGTACAACAGATTTGTATACATAGGCTGGGGTGTTGTAGGCCTTGAAAACTATTTTGTATGGAAATTGTTGTTGAAACTGCTTACACTTTTACACTTTTCAAACGATTGCAACGAAATTGAATACCCTAATTGATTTTCTTTAGAAGAGTATGTAAAGTCAAAATTTAAAAATTTGTTTTGTATTTAAAAATGCACTGAGAAAAAATTGGAACAGTAAAAGTAAATATTTGCATATTGAATTAAAAATTTCGTAATAAATATTGAGTTAAATGAAAAAATTGAATTTTCAAATATTATAATCAAGTTAGAAAATATTAGATATGATGTTATTCATAATTACTTTAAATATTTTACGCCATTAAAATAAAATAATATTAAAATCTTTAAGTTACCTATTATTTTTTTATTCAATATTTCCAATATTAGTGTAAATAAACACTGCAATAAATGAATAACATAGTTAAAAGTATTTGAATTGAATATGAAATCCTTGGACTTATTATTTTTTTTCAGTGTACATATTGTTGCCTTTTTGAAATAAATATTTTGGGCATTTGGAAGTATGTGCTACAATTTTTGGGGTTCTCAATTAGTATGTTTCCATATTTAGACAAAGAATGAAGTGTTCTGTGATTTTTATTGTTTATTTGGGATCGGTGCTTTGCCATGAGGGATCAGCAATGCTTCTAGATGCTAAGTGTATCCCTGAAAAGAACTTTCGAGGAAAAATAGCGAATGGTGTTAAAACTGAACTGGAAAGCACTCCATGGATGGCTCTCATTCGCAATTCTTCCAAAGGTTTTATCTGCGGCGGTTCACTTATTCACAGAAGTAAATATAAGTAACTTTGGAGATTATCAAATTAATAATTTTTCTGTTTTTAGACTTTGTCATGACAGCCGCGCACTGCATTGAAAACGAATTGTAAGTGCCCCTCTGATATAGTAAATTTAAAATTTATAATACATTTAAAATTTTATTCGCTTAGATATGTTAATTTAGGAGTTTACGATCAGTACTGTCCCCCATCAATATGCAAATTAGTTGAAGAATACAGTGTAACCGAGAACTTCACTTACAATATAAATGGAGTTCAAAGTGATATTGGTCTGCTGAGGCTGGACAGACCAGTGCAATACAAGGGTGAGAAACTACACTGATGAAATACTTATAAGAATTTATACTCGCTTTACTTTAAAATGATTTTTTTTACCAATTACATGGTAAAAATAATATTTATGAAAATAATATATATGATCAGCCTCAACAGTGCGTATGAGTAATAAACATTGAAACCAATTTGCAGACCCTAAAACGCGTGGGAGTTATAGAGATACGAAATACATTTTGTTTCTTATCAACAGAGCACATTCAACCAATCTGCATAATTTTGGGTAGCCGCGTAAACCCGTTGTCCATCCGCAAGTTTTCAGCATATGGTTGGGGAAAAATGGAGAATGGAAAAGATAGCCGATTTCTGAGGACGATCACTCTGTATCGCCGTTACGCAGAGGAATGCGACCCGTATCTCAGAGAGATGCCGTACGGAATGTTTTGCGCTGGAACGGAAAATGGGGACACCTGTAGGGGCGACTCCGGAGGTCCCTTAAACGCGTATGTTAAACATAAACAAAAGTGGATCTACGCGCAGTTTGGAATAGTGAGCTATGGAACTACTTCCTGCAATTTTAATGGCTATTACATAGAAGTCATAAGATACAAAATGTGGATAATGGAAGTGGTGACGTTTAGAAAACACGACTATTTGTGGAACGTAATAAAGGTATGCCATTGCTAGGATTTATTATACATTTTTAATGATACAATTTCAATTACACTACAGAGCCCCATCAAACCTTAGTAGGACAAATCAAGACCATCTTAAATCTGAAATGTTAAGTTCTCAAGTAAGGTATTTAGTTAGACAACTTTATTGACGTCTTAACTTTCTTCCCTTTGCAGGTTTTTAAATAGTGGAACATAAGAGGCACAGAGACTGGGTTCTCAAACGTTTTATACTGCTTTTAAAAATAGTTATAAACCAATTTTGTTATTTTAAAATAGCCTTAGAGAAAAATAATAAAAAAGCTTCAAACGCACTGACCTAAAACTCAATTTACTTTGATAAAACACATGGATGCCACATATATACGAGGGGTGTATGTAACGCACTCATAACCATTTAGCGCGTGCTTCTGATAAGCCATCGCCGTAGTCATTCGTTCGCACTTATTGATAAACAAAACGTATATATTTTATTATTTGTTTTAATATGGAATACTTGCTATAATAATAATAATAATGCGACTGTGCATCTTTCTACAACTTCTGCCTTGAACAGTAGCCTGAAATATACAAGTTTATCGTTTTGTGGTAGTTAATATAATACATTCTGATTTAGCCTGTGAGGAGCCAGTGTAGAAACAAACATAACAAACTACTTAAAATCAAAAACGGACACACACACATGTCTTTCGTTTGGCGACAAAAATTATATAAACAAAATCGCCGTCGTCTTCACACCGGGCACACTCCGCAGTCGATTGAGTGATGCTGGTGACTGCCAGTGTGCGGGGCGTGAAAGCCAACTGCCAACTTAACCAACTATCAACTTAATAAGTAACTAAAGTCCCAGTTTAAAGCGTTTCGGCTGATCGGATGTCGGTTTGTGGGGAGGCGCCTGCAAGCTGTAACTGCATATAACGAGTTGTAATTTCCAAAAAATAGGCAAACACTGATCTTGTGCGTGTCTGCTGGGGATGGGGGAATGCCTTGGTGACTGATGGTTATTGTTGTTCTTCGTCGTGATGATGCGGCGGCGAAGGCTGCGGGAGAAAAGCGTTGATTAATTGGGTGATTCAAATTTGGCAGAGGTCGAAACTATAGCACTTGCAAAACTAATATCACTGGCGGCACTATTGAACACTTTTATCCAGATTTTATCTTAAAAAATTCCTTCAAGAGAAGCACCTTTCAACACTGTCTTACTTAGCTTCTTGAGCTTTTATTAGGAACTGTTTTAGGACAAATCATAGTGGCCATGACCAATAAATTTTGGGAAATGTCCAAGTTAAATTGCAAGTCAAGTCAGTCGAGTCCCAGCCTTGCTCCTGGCTGGATATAGTGACTCTAATTGTGAAAAAAATATACTTTTTTTAATAAAAGACTTTATACCGATGTACAAGAATTCTAATCAAAAAACCTCTCTATTTTGTGAAAAGTAAAAATTCGAATAAAAAAAAAGGGGATGTTAGGAAATGCAACCCATGTAGGTAAGACCAGAGCCCGTGCTATTACGTTGACCTCTGCTGTTGCGCCATGATTCACACACTCACACTGGAAGGCTGGCGACGGCGCCTACTCCTTGTCGCCCATCTTGGACTTGGAGGTCATGTAGATGCCCACGATGAGGCCGAACAGACCGATGGCCGAGCCGAAGATCTCCACAATGAGGATCTTGACGAACAGGGCGGCGTTGGCGGCGTCAGAGAGGGCGGCTCCCGATCCGACGATGCCCACGGCGATGCCGCAGAACAGATTGACCAGACCGACGGCCAGGCCGGCGCCGAAGATGAGGTAGCCAGAGAACCAGTTAGTGTTCTGGATGGCGGCCTGTGACAGGGCCGTCTCCATCGAGAACTGCTCCAGCTGGCCGGAGAGCACGATGGCGGTGATCAGACCATAGATGGCCACCGCCTCGCAGAAGATGACCGAGATCAGATTCTTGGTCTTGATGCGTGGCGCCTTCACACCGCCGCCCACGATGCTGGTGCCCGTCGTGTGGATGCCAAGGGCGGCGCCCACCACGGACAGCGAGACGGAGAGTCCGATGCCCAGGCAGGCCCACATGTACGGGTTCGATGAGGCCAGGAACCAGCCCACGCTCACCCGCTCGCCCTTGCCCGTCATCACGAAGTACAGGGTCAGGATGGTGGCCACGGCTAGGAAGAGCCACAGGAACGTTTGGGACACCACGGTGCGTATTTGGGCCGCCATCTTGATATTTCTTCACTGTCTGCGGGTCGGGGGAGAGTTAGCGCTGCTCGATTTTCAACTTTTCCAGCTGGGACTCACCGAATTGCAGGCGTAATTGTATTTTCTCGGCCGACAGGTGACTACTCCGCGAAAAATCCACAATCACATGACGTACATTTTCTCTATCACAGGCTATCGAATAATCACGCCATTCGATAAGTGCGATAACAACAGTGCGCAGTGATGACCGGGCAGCTACTTTGTAGCCAAACCGGCGTTAAGGTGAAATATGGGTACTACAAAGATAAAAGAGTTTGTAAACGGAGACAATGAAATTACCATTCTTGAAGCTACGGGCCGCGATTATTGTCTTGCGTTTTTTCAAAAATACTTTTTGAAAGCGCGCAAAATAATAATCTTCATGGTCTGACAGATTTAAATTTGATAATTTCATAGATTTAGGTTAAAAAATAAGAAGTATTTACTAAAACAGCTAGTAGCAGAAACGATGAAATTATCATTCGAGAATCTTCAAATGGGAAGGTACACAACAAACGTACACGAACTTTACACGCATATTTTAAATATGTCTAAAAAAATGACTTTATTTAAAAAAAAAAAATCGACTCCATAAAGATGACAGCTTTTTTTCGGTCCCGCACCACGGATTCGATTAATATGCATCTGGAATCGCTGGATTCTTTAAATATAGATTCTGAGAAATTTTAAGATATGGTTTGTGTCCAGACTAAGTTCGAATGGTCCGGCAGCACTGATAATTTTAATTGGCTAGTGGCAAAGCCTTCAATCTTAATACATTTTTAAATTTGAATATTGGCGCCTCAAACTGTTTTGTTCAAAGAATATAACATTTTCTTACTTATTTATCCAGCCAATGTTAAAGTTGATTACGTATATTTAATAGAGAACGCATTTGTTTTGGTACTTCCGACCATTTGCAGACAAATTTAATTACAGTTAATGAAACGATACAACAAAATACGACATATGGAGAAAATAAACATTCAGCTTTTACGATCACCATCTGATTTACATGGGTTCAACTGCCTTTAACTACAAACTAAAAAAAAAATAAAAACGAAGTCATAAAATGCCAAATAACTCAATTTTTTATTAACAGTGGAAACTGGATATCGCTGCCCTTCATCAAATGGAATTTTCTTGTTACTAACTCGGCCTTTAGTACTAAATGTTTAAGGCTGAGATAAGTAATATTTTTATTTACGCTCATTAAATTGCCCCATATAAATGGCATATCTCTTGTTTATTTTCATTTGCTTTTGTTTTTTGTATGCATATCAGCAGTCGAAGTCCTTTTTGCAGTTCAGTGGCCACCGTTGAAGGAATTGTGCCTACGCGCGGAAAACTGTCCCGTCGGCAGCGACTTTTCCAGCCCATTGAATTGGCCGTGGGAGTCGAGCCCAGGTCAGGTCAAGATTTCGCTCTGGATGGGAGCACGTTTAACAGCAACCACGTGACGGCGCCGTAATCTAAAGCCACATCATCATTAAATATTTACACTACATTATAATTCCTGTTCCTTTCTGGCGCGGCGCGTGTCACAGTTACATACACAGTTGCACCTGAAAAAGAAATCTTAAATGTCATTTTTTTTCATATAAATATTTAATTGTCTTTTATTTTTTAAAATTTTGGAATAAATTTGTTTGGTATTTTACATTATATATAGTTCTCATGAAAAGCAAACTTGACAGAATATGAAATTGTAATTTCATGTAAATTTTTCCGAGTGTAAAACAAGTGAGATGAAGGCCGTGTTAAGAAGAGATCCTGAGGAAGAATTTGTCTTACAAGGAACGGATGAAGAAAAAGTTGGAAAGGCGACACAACCGCAACATTCAATTAAACGTAATGTGTTGTTTGTTGTCCCTCGAAGGACAGGTTGGGACCATGCCCCTTTTGCCCCACCCCTTTTTCCCATCCCATTCCCTCCCACGATAATAAATGTAAACTTTTCACTTGAAAAATTCACGACGCGCATAAAGAACGAATAAAATGAGATGTCTACGGATAAGACAGAATTGCTATGGGTCTGCGTCAAGTCAAAAATCACAAGAGAAATCCATTAACCTGCGTCTTTCTTCTTGTTGACTGACTTTTGTGACCGGCTTATCTTTAGGTTTTTATTTAAAGTGGTAAATAGGAGTAATGCGCATTTACTAAGGAACCCTAAGTGAAATTATAACACAAATTAAATAAAAATAGTAAGTATTGATTTAAAAAGAAAACGAGTTTGAACTAATTGTTAAATTTTTAGTAGGAATAATAGTTAACATTAATCTTTAATCCCTTTTTTTTAAGACTTTCTAGTAACCAAATAGGGGCGTAAAGTCCTTATAGTAATTTGCCAAGTTTAAGGTCCGCTTGGCTGCGGAAAGAACACAACAATGGAGCATATGCATAGGCGCACCTTTTGTTCACCTGCCACCACTTGGCTACAAGCAACAATAACAAAAAAAAAAAAAGAAACAACAACAGAGTTTAGTTTTCTATAGACCGGAAGTTGGCCGGGCATATAAAAGGCCTTCCGCTGCTTTCCGGTGAAATGTTGCATTTCAAGCATGCCCAAACATGAGCACCCCACAATATGCATCCACTGTTGCAGAAGCGTCTGAAGTAGCCACGGGCACAATGAACTTCAAAGGACTACTAAATTCCTACAGCTAGACTAAGACGAATGGAAGGGTAATTTTGAGAGTCATTCAGCAAAATGCTTGGGCACAAAAAGAGCTCAGAACTACCCACACAAATTCTTTAAAAGATATGGTTTTCGCAGTGGGTTAGTAATTTTCAAGTACATATGTTATTTACGGATAACAATTAGAACATTTAAAATAAAGGATATAAAATATTTTTTTTAATGCAAAATTTTAACATACTTAAACTATGGTATATAGATTTTATTGGTCATAAACATGTTGGAAATATTTTAATTAAAAAAATATTATATTAAAATCACAATATTAAATTCCATGCCACATTTAATATCAATCATTTTTAAAAGAAAGGATGCAACTCCATTTACATATTTATTTATGTGTTTCATCTTAATATGTTAATATCAGTTCTAAGAATTATCCTTTCAATATTCAGGAAGTAAGCAAACATTTGGCCAACACAATCAAATCCTTTTTCAGGATGTGCGAGATTCCAGCACCGATGGTTGTTGAGAATTGATTTCCTGTTTAGACATTTAGGCCGATTTGTTAACCATTGGGCAAAGTTCAAAGAAAGGACAGAAGGCAGGTGGAAAAATGCTGAAGCAGATCAAACGGCCAACTTGGGGCTTCAGTCCCATTCCCTGGCTTATGAATAAAGCAGGGGTCCCTCGGAGGTTAAGTAGGCCACCCATTCTCCCTGGTCCACCCTAATCTTATTTATTTGTTTGGATTTCCCGGAAAACCGAAGTGAAATCTTTTTTAACTGCCATTGATTTTATTTCTGTTTCGGCCTGTCTTTAACTGCTTGTGTGAACAAATTCAATTGCTTTTCATTTATTTGCTCTAAGTGGCCGTCTGGCATTAATTTAATGTACTGTAATGCAATGGTCAATCCGTAACTTATGCAAATGAAATGGCAATTCAGTGAAATTTAACAGGCCGCCTGGTTTTTTATTTATTATGTTGCTGTTTTTACACGTGGCAAGTGCGGTGGGCTAATGAAATGCAGTTCATTGTATATATCGAGTTATAGGCATTTATCGGCGGACTGGATGAAAGAACACTTCATAAAGTTTTTCGAACATATGTGGGAAATGTATGCCACTGAAACAAACATATGCTAATTGCAAATAGGGCAATCAAGATGTACAATCAACTCGGCCGTAATACATTTACTAATGGAGATTGCAGGGAAAACAAATTTATAAACAATAATATATTTAAATTAAAAATGTGTACCTGTAAATGTTATTTATTAAATTCAAATGGAATAAATAAAATGAATTGAAATTTTCTTTGTGAAAAAATGCAATATCCTGGTAATTTGGGCAATCTGAAGGTCCGTAATTTTCAGGCCCAGCAGAAGTTGGTAATTTGCAATAAAACACTGTCAGAAATATTATGTATATTTGTGGCGCCCATCTGCGCTTGCTCTTCATTTATTTCATTAACTACAAAGGAGATGAATGAAGGGCGGCTGGGTTTTTTGACTCAGGGGCTCGGCTAACTCCCGCACTGCTGAACAAAAAACCGCCACAGGCACTTGGCCAAAAGTGACAAATTGTTTCAATTCAACAAAAGGAGAACCAACAACGAAATGAGTAAGATGGCAAGAGCACAAAAAACAATAAAGCCTGGACAATAATGGCCTAGACCAAAGATAAAGGGGGTAAAACAGAGAGGAGTTTTGGCAAGAACTGAGCTTTATAACCCTTTTCTGGTCTCGTCCCTCGCTTTTTATACACTGAAAAATTATAAATAAAATTAGGATCCTTCGACAAGTATCTTTAATTAGTTAGGAAAGCAAAAACATTTTTTAGAACTACAAATTTCAGAACTTTTGCAAACATTTTCGGATTTCTGCTAAAATTAATCAAATAAAATTAATTATTTCTTAAAATTTCTTATAATTACCATATCTGAATTATAAATATTAAAACATAAGTGTTCTAACAACATTCAAAGGTTTTTTTGTATTACATCTACACTTTTATAAGAACATTAATATATTCTTCCTAACTTATTTTTCTTTGTGCATCGCATTTTTTATGGCATCCTTTTCCGGCATTTCGCAGTTGTTTCTTTGTGTCATTAGCCACCGTGTCCCTGTTCGTGTCCTTTTTATCTGTTGTACATGACATTTTGGCCTTTCTCATAAGTCCCGGACAGGCGAGCAGAAGCCGGACAAAAGGTAGTGCCTCCTCCTAAAAATGATGATGGCAATTTGCGGCTCATCCCGGGTGCTAAGCATCTTCCTTCCTTTAGCTTCCACCGTTCACTAGCTTACATAATTATCTTAATTTTATCTAAAAACAGGAACTGAAATTCTGTGGAATTTTTTCCGATTGCAAATTGCATCCTCATCGTCATTTGGCGATGCAGTTTTGGACACGCTCTGTTTTCTATCCAAGGATTGCACAGTGGACCCAATACCATTGAAAATGAAATGGTATTTTATTTTAATACATAAATAATATTTATTTAATATTTGTTTATTTTACTTACCTGCAACTTATAATAAAATATGATAA